CGGGGGAGGGGCAGAGAGAGAGGGAGACACAGAATCGGAAACAGGCTCCAGGCTCTGAGCCCTCAGCCCAGAGCCCGATGCGGGGCTCGAACTCACGGACCGCGAGATCGTGACCTGGCTGAAGTCGGACGCTTAACCGACTGCGCCACCCAGGCGCCCCTAAAAGTAATCTTTACACCCAACATGGGGCTCAAACTCAAGACCCTGAGATTAAGAATTACATGCTCTACCATCTGAGCCAGCCAGGTACCCCAAGGATGCCCATGCTTCCCGCTTTTATTCAACATAGTACTGGAAGCTCTAGTCAGAGCAATTAGGAAGAAAAAGAAATAACAGGTAACCAAACTGGAAAGGAAGAGGTAAAATTGTCTCTATTTGCAGATGGTATGATATTATATGTGGAAAACCCTAAAGATCCCACCCCAAAACTGTTAGAACTAATAAACAAGTCAGTAAAGTTGTAGGATAGGATAGAGAATCAATATGCAAAAATCAGTTGTATTTCTATACAGTAATAATGATCTATCAGAAAGAGAAATTAAGAAAACAATACCATTTATAATAGCATCAAAAAGAATCAAATACTTAGGAATAAATCTAACCAAGGAGGTGAAAGATCTGAACACTGAAAATTACAAGACATTGATGAATGAAATTGAAGAAGACACAAATAAATGAAGATATTCTGTGCTCATGGATTGGAAAGATTAATATTGTTAAAACCTGCAGACTACCCAAAGCTATCTACAGACTGAATACAATCTCTATAAAAATTCCAATGGCGTTTTTCACAGAAATATGAAAAACAATTCTAAAATTTGTATGAAACCACAAAAGGCCCTAAATGGCCAAAGCAACCTTGACAAAGAAGAATAAAACTGGAGGCATCACACTTCCTGATTTCAAGCTATATTACAAAGCCATAGTAATCAAAACAGTATGGCATTGGCATGAGAAACATAGATCAATGGAACCTCATAGAGAGCCCAGAAAAATACCCACATGTATATGGTCAACTAATTTATGACACAGGAGCTCAGAATATATGCTGGGGAAAGGATAATTTCTTCAATAAATGGTGCTGGAATAACTGGATAGAAAGTGATCGTGGCATCAGACAGACTTAGCTCTACAATGAACCTGCTACCTGATGAGGAAGTTAAAGATTATGTAAACTATACTGCGTTCAGTGTCTAGGACTCTGCCCAATATATAATAGCATCATTGTCTACCTTGAAGTGACAATCAGATATCCAAGTCGTGTGAGTAGAGAGGTTGGGATAGTAGGATCCATAGGTACAATTGTGAAAACCTGAGGAACTGGTCATGGGAATTGCCAGTCTTGACTTTTTGCTTTAATGGACAATCCTGTGAGCAAGGAGGTGAAAACAGAAAGACTCCTCCCTCATCCCATCCTGCTGAATGCTAAAAACTCTAATTTCTTGGCCAATAATGATTTCCTACAGATGTACAGAAACTAGTGGCATCAGGATGCCTGGGTGGCTCAGTTGGTTAAGATTCTGACTTTGGCTCAGGTCATGATCTTGTGGCTCATAGGTATGAGTCCTGTGTTGGGCTCTGTGCTGACAGCTCAGAGCCTGGAGCCTGCTCTGGATTCTGTCTCCCTCTCTCTCTCTGCCCCTCCCCCGCTCACACTCTGTCTCTCTCAAAAATAAATAAACATTAAAAAATATTAACAACAACAACAACAACAACAACAACAAACAACTAGTGCCATCTTTCTTAATAATAAGATGTCCAGGGCACCTGGGTGGCTCACTTGGTTAAGCGTCTGACTCTTGGTTTCGCCTCGGGTCATGATCACGGGTTCATTAGTTCAAGCCTCAAGTCAGACTCCATGCTGTCAGCCCTCTCTCTCTGCCTTGCCCATATGCATCCTCTCTCTCTCTCAAAATAAATAAACTTAGAAAAAAAGATTTCCAATAACAACTTCATGAAAAATAATTCTTTACAAAACTGCTTTAGTGATATTTTTGCCAATGCCTGCCTCATAAAAGATGTTGAAGATATCATCGCTACCCGAAAAGCCTGGCATGTGGCCCATGGCCATCATGATAGAAGCTGTGTTCCAACATGGGTGTCTTGGCAGATACTGCACATTTAGACTCTAGCATGATCAACAAGGATATGTACCTACCTATTTTATCTATGTGTCTATCTATTATCTATATCTACTATTTCTTTTTTCTTTTTTAGAGAGAGAGAAAGAGCATGAGCAAGGGAGAGAGGTAGAAGGAGAGAGAGAGAGAATATTTTTTTTGAGAGAGAGTGAGCGCAATTAGGGGATGGGCAAAGAGAGAGAGAGAGAGAGAGAGAGAGAGAGAGAGAGAGAATCCCAAGCAGACTCTGTGCCATCAGTGGGGCTTGAGCCCACAAACCATGAGATCATGACCTGAGGTGAAATCAAGAGCCAGACACTCAGCCAACTGAGCCACCCAGGTGCCCTTAGAGATAGAGAATCTTAAGCAGGTCCCATGCTCAGCACAGAGCCTGATGTGGGGCTCGATCCCAGTCACTTCCTCACTGATGATGTCACTTTTATCATATACTAAGTTCTGTTTATTCTAAGGGCTGTTTCTAAATTAACTGATATGTCAGTTTTGGAATCAGTTTCCAAAGTTTTGGTTATTCTTTTTATTCATTCTAAAAGTTTTAATACCTGGTGGGGTAAATCTCCTTCATATTATTCTTTAAAAAAAAAAAAAAAACTATATTGGGGCATCTGGGTGGCTCAGTCAGTTGAGCGTGGACTCTTGATTTCCTCTTAGGTCATGATCCCAGGGTCATGGAGTCGAGCCCCATGTCCAACTCCATGCTCAATGTGGAGCCGGCTTCTCTCTCTCTCTCCTTCTGCTCTTCCCCCCTTCCCCCCCCACCAAAAAAACCCGTTTGTTTGTTTTTTTATAAAGAAGATATCCAATTTATTTTTTTAATGTTTATTTTTGAGAGAGAGAGAGAGAGAGAGAGTGCACGTGAATGAGGAAGGGCCAGAGAGAGAGGGAGACCTGGGATTAAAAGCACTTAGAAACCAATTTGACAATAAATTTCATACATTGAAAAAATAAAAAAATAAAAAATAAAAACACGAATAGTAAGACTTTTTAAGAACGTGGTTTGCATATTTATTTGTTTAGAGTCTTAGTTTCCTCAGAAATTAGCTGTTTACATTATATAGATTATGAACAGTGCAGACATTTCCCCTGGACTTTAGTTCTAATTTTAGGCTTGAGCATATCAATATATGTGTCTATGTACACACACATATATGTATACACTTTTGTGTAGCTAATGAGAATAGAACTTTTAAAACTTTCTTATCAGTTTTTTACTGGTATATAAAACACTGGTTAATTTTTTTTAAAGGATTTTATTTTTAAGTAATCTCCATATCCAACGTAGGGCTTGAATTTACAATTCTAAAATTAAGAGTTGAATTCTCTACTAACTGAGCCAGCTAGGTGCCCCAACACTGGTTAATTTTTTAAAATAATTGTTTAATTGTGGTAAAATATACATGAAATTTATAATTAAACATTTTTTTAAGTTTATTTATTTTTGACAGAGAGAGAGACACACACACATAGAGCATGAGTGGGGGAGGGGCAGAGAGAGAGGGAGACACAGAATCCAAAGCAGGCTCCAGGCTCCAAGCTGTCAGCATAGAGCCCGATGCAGGGCTCAAACCCATGAACTGCGATATCATGACCTGAGCCAAAGTCGGACACTTAACTGACTGAGCCACCCAGGAGCCCCTGAAATTTATCATTTTAATCGTTTTTTTCATTTTAATCATTTTAAGAGTACAATTCAGTGACATTAAGTACGTTAATATTGTTATACAACCATCACCACCAACCATCTCCAGAATTTATTCATTATCCCAAACTGAAACTCTGTAACCCATTAAGCCTGTTAATTTTTATATAAGTATGTTTAATCAGGATTCCTGGGGCGCCTGGGTGGTTCAGTCGGTTTGGCGTCTGACTTCAGCTCAGCTCATGATCTCACAGCTTGTGAGTTTGAGCCCCACATCAGGAGGCTCTGTGCTGACAGCTCAGAGCCTGGAGCCTGCTTCAGATTTTGTGTCTGCCCCCCACCCCCATTCTCTCTCTCTCTCTCAAGAATAAATAAACATTTAAAAAATCAGGATTCTTTTAAAGTTTTTTTTTTTTTTTAACATTTATTTATTTTTGAGACAGAGAGAGACAGAGCATGAACGGGGGAGGGTCAGAGAGAAAGGGAGACACAGAATCCGAAACAGGCTCCAGGCTCTGAGCTGTCAGCACAGAGCCCGACGCGGGGCTCGAACCCACGGACCGTGAGATCGTGACCTGAGCCGAAGTCGGACGCTCAACCGACTGAGCCACTCAGGCGCCCCCAAAAATCAGGATTCTTAAATGAACTTTTTTATTGTAATCATAATTTGGATTTCACTGATACTCATGAAGTACATATTGTTTTTTTTTTAATTTTTAACTTTTTTTAAAATTCATTTTTGAGAGACAGAGAGAGACACAGCATGAGTGGAGTAGGGGCAGAGAGAGGGAGACACAGAATCTGAAGTAGGCTCCAGGCTCTGAACTGTCAGCACAGAGCCAGATGTGGGGCCTGAACTCACGAACTGAGTGATCATGACCTGAGCCGAAGTCAGACACTCAACCGACTGAGCCACCCAGGTACCCCTGCATATTGTTTTTATACATATATTGCGTAACTGAATTTCCTCTTTTGTGAATTGTCTGCTTATATGTATCTGCTTAACTGTACTTGTCTCCTGCTTCTATCTGAACAGAGATTCTTCTCATCCTCAGTTGGTGCCTCTGCTGGTCCAGGTGGTTTACCTGGTGATATGACCCAGAGCCTTATGCCCGAAGGGTCATTAGCCCCCGATACCAATGCCCTTTATAGGCCATGGCTGATGTACTTTTCCATTTACAAAACTGGGTAAGAAAGCACCAAGGAATACTCAAGTGAATTACCTGGGTGCCGAACATCGTCCTTCCATCTTCCATTGTGTAACAGAATTTCAACTTCCTCTCGATGATTGGGATAAATCACCCCTGCCAACATGGTGACTTGTCTGGAGTGCCTGGCTGGCTCAGTTGGTGGAGCACGGGTCTCTTGATCTTGGCGTTATATGTTCTAGCAGCACGTTGGGTGCAGAGATTACTTAAAAATAAAATAAAATTAAAAAAAAGATGGTGCCTTCTTGCCATGTCTGCTGGTCCCTTGTTACAAGGCATCTGAAATGCTCAGGCAGCAATTATCGCTTGAAATTCAATGGGACTCCTGCTGTATCTATTGGTGGAAGCAGTCCCCTTTGGAAACCATGATTTCTGATTGAGTTGATAGGATGCACCAAGCAGGGTCATTCCTACCTTCACCCCTTCATTTCCAGACCCATATATTCTACCTACTGGGGACAAAGCACCATATATTGCTAACTGATTTAGAGTGTATGAATGTGGTCTTCAGGATGGTGCCTAATCCTCACAAGATATTGTTTCAGAGCTGGTGTTTCGGTGTTCCTTCAATGAGCCATTGCATTGCTTAACATCTAGGGATGGAGACTTCTTGAATGGACTACAAACTTAGGCCTTTTTTCTTTTTTTTTAAGACTAAGTAATCTCTACATTCAACATGGGGCTGGAACACACAACCCGGAGATCAAGAGTCGCACACTCTATTGACTGAGCCAGCCAGGTGCCCCTAGACCTAGACTTTAGAGGAAGATGGTACACACCTTGAGTGCTATGGAGAGTGCTGTGAGTTACTAAAAGGATTTGTGAAAATATGCCCAAATCAATTATGCTGTTATGGAGCTGTTTGATCAATGTCTGAAGTTGAAATATAAGGAAGTATCTAGATGGCCTCTCAAACTCCCTATTAAGACTTTTTTTGGGGTGGCATTTGGGTTTCTCAGTCGGTTAAGCATTTGACTTTGGTTCAGGTCATGATCTTACCGGTTCGTTGGTTTGGGCCCTGCATCAGGCTCTGTGCTGACAGCTCAGAGCCTGGACGCTTTTTCAGATTCTGTGTCTTCCTCTCTCTCTCTGCCCCCTCCCCACTCACACTGTCTTTCAAAAATAAAATAAACACTGGAAAAAAAAAACCCAAACCTTTTTTTTTTTTTTTTTGGTAGAACAGCCCCTTTTGAAAAATTGAGAAAGTCATGAGTTCTTTTCTCAAACATGCACAATTACATTAAAATGCTGTTCACAATTTTAGGGGGTCCATGGGGTTTTGAAACCTAACCATGGACTCCAAGTAAAGTATTGCTCTCACCTGTCTTTCCTCCCAAGAGGCAGCCCAACTCTCAGTCCTATTTTAGAATATAGTATAGGGCTAAGTTTACTAAACTAGATACAACTTCTGAAAGCAGATGGATTTGGGAGAACAGTAGGCGTTACTGCATATTCTTTTTACCTTGCAAAGTATAAAAACATGCGATGGAAGATGCCACATTCTGGATTTTCCAGGAGGCTGTTTGGACCCTACAGATAATAATTTTTGACTACAGACAGCTGACTCATTCAGCAAATATTTACTGGGTGCCTGATATTTATAGGCACTGTGCAAGTGACTAAGGTCCCCAAGAAAGAAAAGACACCATTTGGGTCTTTGATGAGACCATTCACTTGAAAAAGTGTGAACGCAGTTACTGGTGGCCTTTAAGAAAGGGCTGAGGGGATCATCTTAAGTTTTAAAGGAATTCCTGGAGATGGAAAACCGGCTCTTGAGCTGGCGCCTTGATTCTTGGTTTCCCCACAGCCTAGAATGGTGAGCTTGGCAGGTCGAACTCAACTTGCCTCATCCATCCAAACGGGTTAAATGAGCAGACAAAAACTGTTGCAAATCGTCACAAAGATAACCTTTGTAAACCTGTACATGCACTAATGAAAAAACACAAGCACGAGGCTTATTGAAAGCGATAGCTAGGAAAGTCGCCGCTTGGGGGAAAAGCACGGCTCTCCCAAGCCTCTACAGCCACCAAGGCGCCCGGCACGCGGTCAGAATCCGTTCAATAAGCCTTCCGGGACGGATCAAGTTCCGCTTCCGCAGGCAGATTTTCGCTGTAGGCGTGAGCACTGGACGCTCGACGCACTTTAGCGTCGGACCTCCCACCCGCGCATGCTCCAAAGGATAGGCAGAGAGCGGAAGGGCGGGGGAGTGACGAGACGCAGCGGACCGTCGGCTCGTTCGTCCTGCAGCCCCGCGCGGGAGGCGGGGGCGCGCGCGCACGTTCGCGCGTCCGGCTGCGTACAGTAGTGACGGCCGCGCGGGAGCGGTCACGTGACCGCAGCGGCTGCCTGTACAGTAAGGACCCAATATGGCAGCGGCGGTAGCAGTGGCAACGGCAGCAGGAGGACCGGCCGCCCCATAGACCCCCGCCCCCCCCCTCCGCGCACCACCCCCGCCGCTTCCTCTGCTTGGGTGCTCCTCGGACCTGACTTCCCCTTTCTCCCACTTTTCCCGGCACCGCGGGAAAAGCATCGCAGGGCAGAGCAGGCAGGGAGGGCGGCCGGAGCCCGGACACGGGAGCCTCCCAGTCAGTTCAAGACCCGACATGAGGGAAAAGGGCCGTAGGAAGAAGGGCAGGACCTGGGCGGAGGCCGCCAAGACGGTAAGGGGGAGGGAGCGAAGCGGAAGCCCGGGAGAATTTTGTTCCCTCGCCGCCTGCCGGTCGCAGGGGAAGGGAGGTCATTGGCCCAGCGACCCGGCTGAAGGGGGCACAAAACCGCGCGGAGAGGGCGGCGGTTAGTGTCGGGTTGTGATCCCTGTGGGAATGGAGGCGCCCAGCGGAAGAGGGTCGCCGCGGGGCTGTGGCTTCTCCCTGCGTCTGCGACGAGTCCCCTTGGTGTTTTGAAGCTGCCTCTCGGGGTCACGTCGCTCTCACCCCCACACTGAGGTAGCCCCCGCCCCGGCATGGGGAAGTCTGTTGTGCTTGCACAGTAACCGGTTCTTCTCCCTTGTGCGGCTGAAGAGCCCCCATTGGATGCAGATAGGAGAAGGCTTGTGCGTGCACCCAGCCCCGGAAAAGAAGAGAGGAGCGCTGGATCTTGGTAGAATTTACCCGCTATAGCAGACATGCCGCCTGACCCCGGGTCCCCTGCTCGTCTGGGCTCCCGGGTCCAACGTGAGGTCACGAGGCTCTTGTTTTTGTTTGCTGTTGAAGCTGAAAGTGCAGGAGGTGTTTAGAAACGAAGTAACAGGTGGGACTTGTAGAATTTTTTTTTTTTCCTGTTTCCGTAGAGACCTACTCTGAACAAGGCAGCAATGCATGGTGGGACGTGTAGTTTACCCGGCCTTGACTTTTCCGTAGCTAAAGTGATGGTGGCCTCACGAAGTTGTGATTAGTGGGTAAAATTGTCATTTCCCCCCCCTTGTCCCCCCCCCCCCCATTTTGTTATAACGAAATTTAGAGGTAGGTTTTAAAAAATGGACAGTTTAGGAATGGTGAGACTTTTATTAAGTTGTATGAAAAAAACGAAAAGCGTGCATGTATGTAGAAATAAAACGTTGGGAGATGCAGCAGAAAAGTTAGAGACGTAAAACAGCATTTTAGTGTTGGAAAGTGAGAAAGTGGAGGCATTATCTTTAATGGTGAATCATGTCAATAATACTTGTATAATATGAAGACCCCTTCTAAATGAACCTTTATGTGATGTATGGTTTATTTTTTAAATGAATTTTTTTTTCTGATTACGAAAGTAATAAATGTTCACTGTGGGAAAATTTGGAAAATTAGAGAAACGTATAAAGAAGAAAATAAATCACATATCTCACCCCTCAGTTATATGTTAATGTTTTGTTACATTACCACCCATTCTTTTTTATTTCCCCAAATTTGGATTCTGTTGTTTATTCAATCTTGTGCATTGTTGTAAACCGTGTGTATTTGTTTTGTAAATTTTATGTGATAGGGGATTGATGAGTCTTAAGCTTGTATTTCTGTTTTAGTTGGAAATGTGAAAAAGTTAGTGAATAAATAAAGGCACATTTTATTTATTGAGTGTTTTCACTTAACAGTCTATCTTCATAATTGTGACTGTGCTGATAGTTTCCTTTAAAAGATAAATCTCTAGAAATAATTTTTTTGGTGGTGGGGAAATTGCTTCTTCACAGAAGACTGTTAGGCTTTCTTCTACTTGATGAATACCTCAAGACTTTTTCGTTTTATTAAAAGAAGGATGGCAAATTGTAATTATAGGTAAGCAGACCACAACCCTAATATATTAATTTATTTCAAGTCGCTAGAATCTTAAGAGTATTTTTTGCATTATGATCTCTTTGGATAAAATAGTCTAATCGTTGGGAGATTGTGACAAGTAGGAAAAGTTTGCATCTGCTGTTTAGATTTTCCTATAATAGGTTAATATATTTGCTCATTTATTTTTATTTGTTTTTATTTTTTCAATTTTTAATATAAATTCTAGTTATATTTGCTCATTTATAATAAACATTTCATGCCGTAGTTAGCTATGTTTAAAAGATGGAAAGGCTAGTTTAGTAAGTAGAGTACTGAGTGAGTTCTTGAAGGGATCAGAATATTAGTGGTTTGGTATTTTTATTTGATTCTGACAAATGTAAAGCCTCAATCTAAGTTAATATTAGAATGAGAGTGGTGACACTAAAACTTTTTTACTAGCAGGCAAAATCTAAAAAGCACCCTGCTCTTTGGTTCATTTTACCATCTGTAAAGTGAGGAATTAAACTAAACCTCTGCATTCAGAAGATTTCCATTTGTAAGAAGGACTAGGTAGAAGTAAATGTAGGGGGAATAGACAAAAGTCAGTCTTTAATATTTCAGAATAATGAGATCAGAAAATTAGTGTTTTGAGAAACGGAAGTAACTTTGACCTAAATTAAGAAATGTTGCATATATTTGTAAGATCAAAACGACTAGGAGAAGTAAGTCTTAAGAAACTTATTTCAAAAAAAAGAAACATTTCATAGGCGTTAGGGTCAAATGTTCTAGGAACAGTTTCAGCAAGGAAAGAATAAAATTACTTACGAAAACGAGCACTATCTGCTTCTTTTTTCATTGTGTTCTTGGTACCTGCATTGTAGGGCTGTCCTGTTTTAGGGAGCATTATTAAAATGAGGTTGTATTTCTGACCAATAGTATAGCAACAAATAAAATTAATTATATGTATATGTACATGTTTGATGTGAGGGTATGCATGGAGGTGAGAGCTACATGGATTGATGTAAGGTTGTTACGAACAACCTGAAAAAGCAAGATAATATTCATAATTATTGTATAATAGTAAAATTATATCAAAAGGCTGATTAAATGTACAACATACAGACTAGTTCCAATAACTAGGGACAGCGGAAAGAGGGATGATGGAGTTGAGATTCTGTAGCACTTGAATGCTCATTCACTGTACTGGACTGTCTCCCTACTGATTTTCTATTTGCCCTATATAAATACACTAGTTATTAAAAAGCTTTACTTGAGTATTTAAAAACATTTTTTTTAAGTTTATTTATTTTGAGAGAGAGAGTGCATGTGCAGAAGGGGAGAGAGAGAGAGAAAGAACTCCAAGCAGGCTCTGTACTGTCAGTGAAAGGAGCTGGATGTGGGGCTTGAGCCCATGAATCCATGAGATCATGACCTGAACCGAAATCAAGACTTGGACACTTAACCCACTGAGCCACGTAGGCCCCCCCATTGTTACTCAAGTATTTTGTTAACAGTCTTGGATGTTTTCAATTTTAAGGGTAGCAGTGATGGTGATGAAATGATTGGGAATTAGATCTATAGTGTTTGGTTCTACTTGAATACAAAGATTTGTAGTAAGCCAGAGATCTTGAGAACCATTGCACTGACTTTAGAACTGTGCTCAAAGTTAAGCTCATGCTTTAAAAACACACACACACACACACACACACACACACACACACACACACACACCAAAATGAACATTGTATCATCTAAATATTTAATGACATCCTTGAAGAATTTAGCTGTTTTTGCAACAGCAGAGCTTTGGAAATACTACAATCTTGTTGATCCTGTTTTCTCTTTTGACTTTTCCCTTGTTACTCACCACAACCAGGGAAGCGTTAAAAGGGGAAAATGTCCTAAAAGGACAAGTTAGTTGTGATTGTAGGTGGAAAGGACAGGGAGGTAACCTTAAGAGATTCTATACTAGAGGTACCTTTGGATATCTTGGGAGCAAAGTGGTCAGGGTACGATAAGTGAAGTATGGGTGTTAGAGGTGAGCACAGACTGTCTCGTATAGGTCTTTAGCATGTGATTTGTGGGCAGAAGATTTCCCTTAGTGATTAATGTTATTTTGAATGTACATAGGTTTTTATTTTTGACATTTGCCTGAAGTCATTTAACTTTAGGGAATAAGATGGAAGGTGGAAAAAAAAATCTTTTCTTAAGTTAATTAATTTATTTTTTTGAGAGAGAGGGAGAGAGTGAGAATCCCAGGCAGGCTCTGTACTATCAGCGTGGAGCCTGATTTGGGGCTCAAATTCATGAATCGCAAGATCATGACCTGAGCAGAAACCTAGAGTTGGACACTTAACTGACTGAGCCACCCAGGCGTCCCTAGGACATTTGTAAAAAAGAAGTAATACTCAGAGGCTAAGAACTTTTGTGGAGGAAGTATAGAAAATGGAAAATAATTTAAAATATGATAAAAGTATATAATGAATAGAAAGATGTTTTCTAGAAAGATGTTTAGGAAAACTTCTTAACAAAATGTACTTTAGTAAAAATAGAAGTCTTAGAAATTTTCTGTACCCTTAATCTTTACCATGAGTATTTTTTTTCTTAAAAATTATGAATACAGGGGTGCCTGGGTGGCTCAGTCGGTTGGGCGTCCGACTTCGGCTCAGGTCATGATCTCGCGGTCCGTGAGTTCGAGCCCCGCGTCGGGCTCTGTGCTGACAGCTCAGAGCCTGGAGCCTGTTTCAGATTCTGTGTCTCCCTCTCTCTCTGACCTTCCCCCA